AGCGAGGGGCACAACTGGGACCAATTAAAATAGCTCTGCAATATTCAGTGTGGTCCRCTGGTCCACAACTTACTTTGGAAGGTTTGATTGTGTTTTGCTACAATTAATTCATTCATTTTCCTAATATACTCCAAGAGGCATGGAGTAAATTTTCTCTTAGTCCTAATCAGTTATCAGATTCCATTAGCACATCAAGAGATTAAGATGCAGATTGTACCTTAAATCAGCATTGCTCTGTGATCTCATGCACATGGAGCTGTCTTTCAGACCTCCCACAGGGACGGGGTAGACCGGGACTCTCATTCCTGGGATGCCCACTTCAGAGTTGCTACTAAATCCTAGAGTGAAACAATAATTTATTACTCTCACAATGTGACCACAAATTCCTGGACCTGAAAAACTTGTTCCAGTTAAATGCTTTTGTCACAAGTGATATATTAATCCTAAAAAAACTCCTAATCTGAATATTTTTTGACCAAAAAGAAAAAATCAGTAGAAGACTCCAATCGACATTCTCAGGCTTGACCAGCATGTGTGATTTGGGCCCAAGAGAAAAGGATGGAGAGAGCAAAACAGCACTGGTCACTAGAAATTACTGAACTGAAGCAAAGCCCAGCCTGTAGGATGCTTTACAAAATAGAAACATATGGTCAGGCAGTGCCAAGAAGTTCATATAATGTAACCTGTATTCATGATAGGTGGTTTTCTTATGGGCTGCCAATATACCATAGCTTACTCAAAGCTTCAGTATTTTTGCTGCTAGTTTCACACTTAAATAACTTGCAGAGGAGTTTTCCCTTCTTTACAGTCCCAATTGTCATGGGCTTTATTRGCTTTTGTTTGTTTGTTTATTGATGCTCAGCTGAGTGGATCCCAACTCCTGTGATGGTGTCTCTTGTAGAGAGATGAGTATCTCATTGCTATATTGCCTCCATTTGCAGACTTGGCTTCTTTACCATTTGCTAATCTCCCTGAGATTGCCTGTAAATCATTCCCATCAGGACTGTTTTTCTCATTTTCCTCTTTTGCTTCTAGGATATTTTACTGGCTGTCCTCCTCTATAGAATAATTCCTGCAGCTAGGACAAAAAACTTCTTCAAAAGTCACTTAATGAAACGCCTCCAAAAGACTGAAAGGAAGAAGACAAAATGCTTAAACTTGACACTCTGTTACTTGCCACAGAATGAAGAAAAGGATGTAAGAGTCAGAAAGGTCTTAAGAACTCCACCAAGCTACCGATGGGCCAGATTGCTTCATCTCACTGAATATCACCTCTGCTYCCCAGGTACTGGTTGACTTGCAAAGAAATACATCGGTTGTTCAGATGCCACAATAATTAACTGACTTTCTTTTCAGATTTTACCAAGTAGCCATCGGTACCTGCAGATAGCATATATAGTCTAAGAAATTCCCTATAACACCATGCTTTCTCACACATTATACACATATGCAATGCATATGTATATGTAAATATATATATATATATGCATACATGCATTGCATATATAGATGTGTGTCTGTATATGTATGTATACCTACAGGTGTATTCATATATAAACAAAGATTTCATTTGATAAGAAATATTCAAGTTGCTTAGAAAATGCTACAGCTTGAAAAAATATGTTCCTTGCTAAAATGTGAGCTGTGTGCTAAATCTATGCCTCTTATGAGAGCGTTCACAAGAGTTCACCACCCACTGTGTCAGAGGCTGAACATTTTCAGTGCAAAAGATGTTTTTTAATCAGGTTCTGCAAGTGAAAAAATAAAACACCCAATAAAATCAGTCTTTATTTTTCATGCTTCAAAAATGAAATTCTTTTAAAAAGTTAGTAACATACGGATAAATAGAAGGCCAGATTTCWGAAGCTACTAAAAAAGGTTAAATTTCTAGTTATTCCTACATTTCAGTGGCAGTAGATATCAGACTTGCTTAGGCATTCTGAAATTCCCAATAAAAATGCTCCAAAAAATTTACAGTTTATGGCCAAATCATCATCACAAAAGAGTTATTAGAAAGTGATGAGAGAAGGCCATTTTTTTTTGTAATTCAAATTAAGTTTTTAGATATGCTGTGCATGAGCCAATCATACTTCTCATTGAACACAGAGACGGGGACCATGACAAACTGCTCTCAGAAAAAACTTCAATGGAGTTATGGAGTTACTGGTTTACCCTACAGGACTCATGGGAAAAAAAAACCCAGCACTGTAACAGTTTATTCCCCAATTAACACTCTATCAAATATGTCCAAAATCCAAATTTTAAGAGCTTGGCCTACTTTATATATTAGCTCATTTCTCCCATCCAGCCTCTCTTGCCCCTTGAATAAGAAATAGAAAGGAAAATTCACTTTGGGGGCTAATATTATTTYGTTAGTATAAAAAGGGAAAGAGAAAGACTTATATCTTGATTAATGTTTATTTGCCATTAGGATTGTTTCTTTGCCGCTCTTAGGAGTCCACCACAAATTAGCATGATATTTTAACTGGGCTCATTTCATCTTGTTGCTTGCTGCTGCCATGACATTTTGATCTCAGGAAGCACAATGTCAGCCCATCTCATCTGSCTTTGCTTGGTAATTTCTTTTTTTTTTTTTCATTTTTGGTCTGTGTGTCTCTCACTTTCCCATTGTCTTGATGATGGAAACTCTTGTACTTTTGCCTTTCCTCTAATAATTTTTTATTTCCTGCAAGTCTGCTTTTTAATGACATTTGATGTTGCAAAATAGATGAGCTGATAGKATATACTGCAACTACCAGTAAATTCAGGTTAAAATCATATGCCTGGGAAGAATTAAAATAGTTTCATACGAAAAGAGAAACTGCTGCAGTCCCACAGCTGGACTGAACCCTGATGAGACACAGAGCCCTTAGCAATTGCCGGGGTAGCACAAGGTGCAGTCCCTAGACATTTCCCAGAGAGGGGCTGAGTTTGAGGTCAGAGATTCATTCCCTGGCCCCTCCTTCCTGCTCCAGTTTGCTTCCTCCGTGGAAAACTAATGTGTATTGCCCAAGGCACTGGGGCTTTATCATATGGAGCGAGTAGGGACAGGGTGGGGATCCTGTTTTGGCAGGGTGTGGATTTTCTGTAGCTGAAAGGACTCATCCCTCTATTGTGCTTACAGGAAAAGAAAATCAATCTTCAGAGCATGTCCTCATACTAACCCAGTTGCTGCACATACAGATAAGAATGAAATCCAAACCCCCCTCCTTCTCCAGGCTTCATCTACTTTGCTGTAAACTTCTACATCTACCACTTGCTGTAACACTAAGATCTTGCAAGTAATTTGGGACAAGAATCCTCARGGAAGCAAAATCTGTACAAAATCATGAATATCAGATCAAAGTAGTATATGAGATTTTAGYAGTGGGTCATTGCTGTATGCCAACAAGTAAGTTTATTGTTGCAGTAAGATTTATTCTGCAATAAATGATACTGCAAATGCARTATCAAGCAGTATCATCTCCTCTCTCGGCTTTGCCAAAGGACTCATACCTGAACTTTCCCCACGCAGACATTTGCCCAGCTTCCTACTATAGATTTGAAGGAAAGGGCGGCYGTGTTGCACAGTGGAAGGGAGGGGAAGAAGGAACCTACAGCAAAAGAGCATGTGCTGGGAAAAAGCTGAATCTCTGTAGGTGACTTTTGCTCTACACAAGCTGTAAGAATACAGTTTTCTTAGTCCATCTTACACCCRCCACAGCACAGGGTTTAATGGAGCGTCCTGTGACAAATTCTCCTTTCTTTAGGCTTGTTATTTTAGGAAAGTAAAAATAATTTCAATCATAAATATAAGTTTCAAAGTGTTTTATGTCTCTGCCTAATACCTTAAAAGTTAGTTGAGTGATCTCTCTNAGAGAAAGGGAAACTAAAGAAGAAATATACAGTTCAGGTAATATTCCCAAGATGCTGTAAGAATTGGAGATAAATCTCTTATTATACAAAACACTGATGCATCATCTCAGCTATGGAATAAATCAAATGGATATGGCCATTTTTGACAGGACATTGTATCCTAAGTTCTTTCCTARATTTCTTGTCTTTTTTTGAAGAAAATGTATGTCTTTTTGCATTCCTCGTCTTTTTTTTTTTTCTTTCCAAAATGATTCATTTTGATCAAAATGTACWTTTCCCAKAAAAAAAAAAATCCTTTGGTCAAATATGCATTTTGGGTTTTGTTGAAAAAATATTTCACAAATAACCCTCAGAATAGTCCCAGCCAGGAATTTGATTTTACTCGTACAGTTGCACTGCCACAGTATTTCCCCTTGCACTTTGAGAGTGCTGCCATGAACAGCATGGTCATTAATACGGAAGATAAAGTTTCATGTTGTTTTCCAGCAGCATTTCTCATACTACAACTACCCAGAACAGTCACAAGCGAGGAAACGTAGGGCAGAAGCAGCCAGGTGAGCTCTGTGCAGCCAGGGGGTGAAGCASGGAGGGTTCTACCCGAGGCTCTGAACAGAGGGAGGAGAGGCAACGTGCTTGGCAGAAAATAAGTGGTCACATATTTTCTAGCGTGGGAGGAAGTTCAAGTGAAGGTACACAGCCAGAAGTGGGGATGAGAAGATGGGATTTTCCTGGGGTACCAACATGATTGGTGGCTTCTGGCAGTGCTGCCAGACCTGCAAACTCAGCAGCCCGCTCTGTAGYCTATCCGTGGTGCATCTCATAGTGGTTGTGTGTACATGAGCCCCTGGAATACAATCCTATGCTATCCCGTTAAACCACTGGATGGACATGTTTTTATACAAACATTAAAACACAGTATTAAAAACATGCAGTATTTACCAGAAGCTGTCAGCTCTATCTCCTACAGCCATTTTGCTTCCTCACATATACTTATATTTACCTCATTTTTAAAATGCATATTATTAAGCTGACGGTTATGGCTCCTCTGGAGTGGTTACCGTTCATTATGTAAACAGATCATTGCTACAATTTATAACACTCCTGCTATTTACCCAACAGAACATGTAGCTGTTCCAAGTGAGCCATTACCGTCTGCCACGTAAAGTAAATCTATCTTCAGCTGCTTTTGCAAGCATGAATTATAATGACACTTAGCATTTCAATAGTGCCATATGCATTGGAAGATTTTGGTGTGCCTTATAAACATTAATGAATGAACTTAGTTAAAAACAGAGTCCCAAGTGGCAGGAACCAGAGCTAAGTCAATAATTTACAGTGGGGTTCTGATGATTCCAATGTGGCTGCAGGTTTTACACCCAGGAATACGTGGCCACATTCCCAGATGACTGAGAACACAAGGGCTCTGCTGCATTTGCTCTTCATCTCTSTCTGTTTGCACAAGGCGATCAGCTTGCACCATCAGCACAGGGGGGTCTCTTTGTAAGCTGGACCCTGAATTATGAAGAAYATTTGGTGTGAGTTTGATACACGCAGAGAGTGCATGGTGTGCTCATTCTTTTGGGGTCCCTTGTCGCCAGTTATCCCTTTGCAGAAGAATATTTCATTCATTAGTCACCTCAGTGCACTTTTTTTTATGTTCCTGTGTATGCTGACCACAAAGTCAACCAGAGTTTTTSCCCAGCTGGGTAGCAAGACCAGAGTTTTGCAGCTGGATGTTTCTGTTTGCTAGATGCTTTGAGCCCTGAAAGCTGTTACTAGATACAGAAGTCCAGACCAGAATGTCAAAAACTTACACATGCACATTGGAAGACATGTGGAAAGGACATGTAGTGTGAGGTCAGGGCCATGGTAGGGAACAATAAGCAAATAATCTTTGTTTACTGATTTTTTTTTCATTTTAAATCAAAGCTTTTGGATTTCTTAGATGTCATGATCAAATGTAATCCTGCCAAACATATTTTCTTACAACACACAACTCATCTGGRGATAAGGGAAAGGAAAATGAAATTTTAAATTGACATCCTTATCGACATATATACAAAAAGTCAAATTTTGTCCTCTGAATTACATTGGCCATAATGGAGTTACGCTAGTACAACTGAAAATCATATATTTATTTGACTTACCTGCAAAGCCCCAAACTCTCAGATCAATTCTCTTCATGTATCAGTAAAGAGAAACCCTACAATGAATGGTAACAAAGTCATTTAAAGGACCTCATAACTGGTTTCAATCTTTGAGCATCTAGATCTAGCAATCTCTAGTTATAAATACCTACCTATGTAACCATCTAACTTATGTAACTATGAGCTGAGCCTGTATGACCTATGTATGATAGTATTTCTCTATGAAAGAAGGCATAATAAAGTGAGTTAAGACTTTGCATTTTAAGAAAAAGAAGGATGGATATTCACAAACATTAGAAGTGAAACTCAAGATGGGTTGATYGCATTAGTGTTTTCAAGTGCCAAATCTTCCTCAACTTGGTGCACAGATATCAGATACTTACTTTGCTCTGGAAAGATGACAGGCCACTGGAATTCTACACCAGCAACATTTCAGGTACATGCATCTATATGTCCTCTCAGACGTGTGTTTGGAAGCCAGGTTACATGTATATAATGCAGCAAGTAAGTGGTGGTTGGAGAATAGATCTTGCAATTCTGTGCGCAGGCAAAACAGCTGGAGGGGATGGCAGCATGCAGCAGGATGACAGCTCACAGAAAGGTTTCAGCTGATCTCTCCCTCTGCTTTATCATGTTCTTTGCTATTGCTTCATCATGGTCTTTACTAGTAAAGARCTTTATCATGCTCTTTACTATTGGTTACAGCTGCCCCTTTACTCTCTAACGATATGAGAAAATGCAATGTCTGGAAAACTGGTGAAAGTCACTCCCTTAGCACTTAATGAATCTGGTTCTTTTCCAGGAGCTGATCAGCCCTACTGCACCTCCACTTAAATCCACAAATATAGATTTTGTGTAACCAAAGTGAGCATTATTCCCTCAGTCTTACACCTTTCACACCTGACATTTAATTTGCAGCAGTGACTGACCAGAGACTTGGAGACTTCCATACAACTAGTATCCCTTGCAATTAAAAGTTAAGCTATAGGCTTTGTGAAGTTCATGACAAGATGCTCACTGCTTCTGAATTTCTTCTGGCTTTTCAAGGATAGCTAAGCAATCAAGAATGGACAGTACAAGCACACAGTCTTGCAGTACAGAAAGATACTGACATGACAGATGAAGATGAATGACACAATCATACAAATACAGAACTTCGAATTTCCCTTCGTCTGTAGATTTAATTTAAGACAGAACCTTCAATATTGTGCGGATGTGGTTTATACTAAAGAGTTTGAGAACAATCCCTAAGCAGTGAATTGAACACTTCATCATTCAAAAATGTATTACAAAAGTGAGTTAAAAATACAAGATATGAAAGAATTGGGGGAAAAAAATTAATGTTCATACGCTCCTAGCTTCTAATGATAAACGATGGCTCACACATAGATTGAAAATTGCTTGCTGTTCACTTAAGATGAATTTTTGTGTTTTAGATTACTGAAATAGAAAAAGAAGTATTGAAACATTTCTAATTATGGGGATATTCTGAATTGAAAACAAATATATTATTTCTTTACCTGCCTCTCACTGTTTTTTTGAGAGATACATAAAGTGCCAATTTGATAAACAATCAACGTGGATGGATTTCAACTCTCTCCATACAGCACATGTTTGTATGCAGCTGTGTCCCACTGTTAGCAAACGTGGTTCCTTGAAACAAAAGTGCATTTCTTGTGTCATTTCTCTGAGTATGGCAAAAGCTGTAAGAAAGGTACTGCAGGGCTAAGCAATAGAGCCTCGCCTTCAGCACAGGTTGTGGGAATGACCCTTTTCCAGCTCTGCTTTCAGTTCCCACTGCAAGAGCAACCCTCTATAATAGGAACGGAAGGCACAGCCAGAGTAGGGAATGCTGAAGCTGTATTTTTTTTTCTCATGGACCATTAAGAAAACATACTTTACAGTAGTTTCAGTTTACAGTGGGAGTCAGTCAGACCTAGGAGCACAGAAATAGAGGAAAACCAAAGACATGGCTTAAACCACCTCTCCCTCCCCCCTCTCCTACACTGACAGCAGAAGCTGAAATCAAAGAACACAGTTCATGCCACCATCACTTCTGATTCTGAAGTGAAAAGTTCTTTTAAGTTAGCCTGTTTTGAGCAGAAGTTTGAACAGCTGACCTCCAGAGGTCCCTTCCAAACGATTTTTTTTTCTGTTTTTCTGTGATGGCTAATAATGGATCTACCAGAGAAAAGAATCAAATGACATCAACTCCTCAGAGCATTCAATCCACTTTAAGAAACTAACTTCATGTGTTTTAGGAAGCAAAGGGGAAGTAGAGTTCAAATGAGAAGACAGATCACAATGGCTATTGAATGGCCAGCTTTCAAAACAGACCTCCTCTTCAACRTGTTCTCATAACAGTAAAGAGTGTGTTTTCCTTCCTCTTGCAATCTTAAAACTGCAGATTTGGCATCCCTGAATGGTGCCTTCCCGTTTCATTCCTTCTCAAGTGACTTTCAGGCCACACAGTAGTTTAACTGCTTCTTTTAGCCATATAGTTTTGAACTATTCATTCCCAATACTATTTCTCTCTTCTGACAGAGATCATCCCTCTGCCTTAGAGATTTCCACATACACCGATGCTACCTTACTGTGTTTTTCACATCTACTGTGGACATAGCAGATTTGCCTGTTGACTGTGCTTAACTGGATTTTGAATTTCCTCCTGAGAAGACTATAGTTAGRTTTCCATCCAATTCCAGGCATTTAATGGCCTTTGGAAGTCTTTATGAGTCTTTGAAGACAAAGGAATACAAGGTCTTAAATAGGAGCATAGTGTCAAACAGGACAGGCTTCGGAAGCTGCAATTTTACATTCAAAAAAAATGCCACAACTTAAACACTGTATCTTCCTTAGAACTATTAAAATGTTTTAGCTAGGGCTATTTGCAGATGTTTCAAGGGATCAGAGAGCTTGAAAGAACAAAAATAGTGCTGAGAGTATCAGAAGATAAAACTCTTCCATTTTCTATTGCCACACAATTAGTAGATGTTTATCTACTAGAAAATACTAGTGTTTATGTACCAGAATTTGTTTTTCGTACCCAGACTAATYATACCTGGCCAAGAATAAGATGTAATTGTCTGTAATGAACTATGCATAGGCTAACCTACTAATCTTGCTCACTTAAGCACACTTCTGATTTCTTTTTCCAAGGCATTGACTTCATCAGCGCACACTAAATCAGCTTAATGGGCTTTGGATTTGCCGCTTGTAGTCTCAGCTTGAAAGAATAGATTAAAGTTCTCTCCTATCAGTTCCATCTCTTTTCACATCAAATGCATTAGAGTGGCATGARGTAATCACAAAAGATGAGTTTTGGCCCCAAACTGATAAATGATTCAGTCACTCTATCCAGCTGCCTGGCATTCTATATGACAGTTTTCCTTTTAGGCTGGATGGAGAAGGCAGTAATGGTAGACGGCTTTGTGGCAAAATCTAAAACAGAGTCAAAGTCTAATGACTTTGTATTTGTAGAAATGATTTCAGGTAAATTTATTCTTTAAGTCTTTAGTTTAATTATTGTAGTTACACCTTTTCTAAACAAAAGAAAAATATAAAACTAGAATAATGTGACCAATGAGAGAAGGACAACATTTTGGGGGTGCAAAAGCATCTGTTTCAAAATATTCAGATTAAGTTTTATGCTTCTATGGATTCTGAACCTTCTAGCAAGTGGGTAGATGTTTGCGAAATGTAGAGCAGCCTCTACTGTCAGTGCTGAAATGGGCAGTTTTGGACACAGTCCCAAGCACAGGTGCTTTCCATGGAATGTGCAAGAGTGAATTTTCTTTGGGAAAGGTCTGTCTAGCCTAGTAGCATTTTTGCAGACACTTGTGGCAAGGTGGTAATGAGATCTGCACTGGCAACAGAAAGCTTAGCCAGTGCTTACATTGAGCCTCACGTGAGGTCTCAGCATAGGAGCCTTCCACACAGATTGACCAAGCAACTGCTCCCCAGCTCGCTCCAGGATCAGGCCACAGAATTGTAAATATTACTGAGATCTTAAAGACCCCTCAAAGCGGACTGACTGTCCCATCATATTCCCCTGGCCTTAAAAGGGAAGTATTTCTCCTACTATTTCCTTCATAAATCATGGCTGTAAATAAGGGGCTGATTCTGCAAAACTGTGCCTCATTGACTCGGCACAGAGAATGCTCAGTGTCCTGCAGGCTTTAAATCACATCGTGAGCACTTCAGTAGTGTTGTCCTTACTGCTAGGATTCCCAGAATTAAACTACCCATGGCTCTTTGTGGAATGGTGGACCCTGCTTTCTCTTCTTCATCACAGTTACCACTGACATGGGATTATATAGCCACTGAGTTGGGCTCTGCTTTACAGGATCTCTCCTAGAAAAGCCCTCTATAAAGACTTCTCTGCGTTTGGCAGAAATAAAATGCAAAACATTTATCCCTATATTGCAAAGGCCCTTAGAACCTCAATAATCAACACTTTATTGTCAGGCTGTCTTCCATTGCCACCATGGCTATCTTCCTTTGTTTTTTCCACCCACTATGATAGGAAAAGATAGGTCACCCTGCAGGGATCCTCGTAAGCAATTCTATATCCATTGTAGAGGATTTTTCCCCTCATGCTTCTAGGAAAAACAAAGCAATAAACAAAAAAAAAAAGAAAAAAGAAAAAAAAATCAGAGAAATCGGGGTGAGGAGCAGAGGCAGAATCCCAGGGTTTCACCTCAGGAAATGGAGCTTAACTCACCTAAGCTCAGTTACCTTGAAGTGAGGCAATCCAAGAGAGTCATGCAGGACTACTCATCTTCTCTTCAGAGAGCTGGTCTCAGTAGTCAACAGGACTAAGGTAACTCATGTGGACTTAAGTGGTGAGCTATTAGAAGGCTGGAGTTACGACGTAATTGATACCACCCATGTATTGAGGCCCACWTCTTGCAAAACGCACATTTCACTAAGCATATGACAGGTTTTATTTTCCTTGTAATGTAGGATACAATTTCAAGTAGCTTTTTATACACACTCTTTCTAGTCTAGGATTTAATGATAAATTCTTGCTTGTTTTCCTAATAAATTTTGTTCWTATTTACAAACTGGAAATGTCTCATGCATGTGCCTAATATTTGCTAAACAATAAAGATTTGAATAAGAATGTGGATATGCACCAGTGAAACAGCCTTTGGGCTGGAAAGAAAACAAAGCTCTGCAAGGCTGAGGGAATAAAGCCTGGCAATGGAAACACAGAAAAACAGAGGCAGACAATCTTAAAGATGCCTGCTGATAAATACTTTTGTGATCCTGTTAAATGATCATATTCACTCTGGAGCCAGATTTATGCAGTACAAATCTAGAAAAAGYGCCAAAAAATGTGCTCAGTTTGCAGAATGGCTTCTCCTGCAGAATACTGAAATACATATATACACACATATATGTGTGTGTGTATACATAYATATAAAAGTACCCCTCCGCAGCTTTCCGGTTTCTATTTCTCTGCCATTTTTACAGACTGCATTTATAGTATAATAGTAATGGCATTTTTGTAACCCTAATGGCTGGGCAATATGAGTTCTTGTGATCCTGACTGCTTCTTCTCCCTGAGACCTGAAGAAAGGCTTGCATGCATGATGACTTGTCTGGTAGTTCTCTAAGTACACCAGCAGGTTTAAAGCAGGTCATTGCCTCTCCCTTCAAGCAGCTTGTTACTTCAAAGACAACACACGGGTACCTTTAGTGTCAGAGGTGACCAAATAAGATGAGAATCAAGACTGCCCTGCAACACGAGCCTAGTGAGAGTCGAATGAGTATTTCAAGGTAAAAGGGCCAGAGTGAGGCTGAGGGAACACAGTGGCAAGCAAGGAATGTAAAACAGCATTTGGTGAATAACAGCCGGCACCTGGAGCCTCACTAGCAAGCAGATTTGCAGTTCTCTGCAAAAATGACTTGTGCTAATTTGAAAAAGCAGAGGAACAACTTTGGCAGCACAGCAAAAAAGAGGCAGCTCTCCTTCCATGGAACCAAATCATTGCTTTTATTTTTTTTATTTATTTTTTTAAGAAAATTGCATATTCAAGGCCATTTTAATCTCAACAGGATCATTATCCAAGACCAAGAAAGGAAAGAAACTGTGGGTTTTCAGCTAATCAACGTCCTCCTGCTTATAAACACTACTGACAAGCTACAGAACCACTATTTGGCAACTGATAATTTCAGGTTTATTGAAAAGTTCTCATTTATTTTCTCTAAGTCATGTATGGGAGGAAAAGTTGATGATAGGGTGTTTCAGTGGGGGCAGAGGTGAGATTTCAAAAATTCTCTGCTTCTTCCACAAACTACTTTTTTTTTTTTTTTTTTGGTAATTTCTGAGAGACTGATGCTACTTCTGAGTAGAAATAGCAGCTGAAAAATTCCAATATGAGAACGGAGCGATATGTGGGCAAGATTTGGCAGTATAGATGACTCTGTCCAGGACTCTCACCTCCTGTGATGTACAGGCAAGTTTCTGTCTCTACATTCATTACACTGAGACCTTATTGTGACTTTGGTTGTCAGGGCATCTAATCAAAAACCCTGAGAGAATCCTCCCCCAACATGACCTTTCAGCCACACAAGATCTCCAAGTGGACCAAAGGTTCCTGGGCTMTGGGGATCCTAGTGTCCTGGGAGAGTTCCCAGTGGCTGTAACGGCCCTGAGAAGTCCCATGGTCCTACAAAGGTGACTGTTGCTTAGGTCTCAAACCTCCTTCTAGGCAAACAAGCATGAAATGGTGAAAAACTCATTATGATACACTCAGTTTGTTAAAACTGTCAGTTTGTAAAACTGACAGTTACACAAATCATTCCAGATGTGATGAGTCACTATTTTCTGAGAGAAAAATGATTTAACTGGAAAACATCCAACCCATTCTATTCTTGGGATGCCTAGAAATTCCAACATACTAGACTTCCTCTTGTTCTTTGACCTACAACAAAATACAACCACAGCTAATGGAGCTCAGAGCAACATGCTTAAGTTGATAGTGCCCCAAGCATATTTCCCATGAATATGTCATTTCAAGCAATATCACTAGTTTCAAGCTAAATGGACCTTGAGTAGTGCCACATACTGCTAAATATCTTTGCCCCTTAGAAACACAGCTACAAAGCAGATAATAGAAAGACCAGTTTACATTAAGAAAATTCACCCAAATGTAGCCTATGTTTCAGAATGACTTTTGTTTTAAATATAATTTAAGGTTTTTTTACACCTGCATTTTGTCAGATTAGGAAGTATAAGAGCTATATTGTAAAATGGAAAAAAAAAMCAACAATTTCATGAAAAAAAAGGTATGTCCCTTTCATCGCAGATTTCTTTGCATTCTGAAATGTGTCTCTGACTAATCTACTTACAGGCAACACTGTTTTCTACTCTCCTTAATAAAAAGCAAGACCTTGCATCATCTTGGATGTGAAGTCAGTCACCAAAGAAGTTCTTAGAAAATAAAGTTTCCTTTCCTATAATCATGAAGGAGAGAGATTTTTCTAATATGATAAACCAAGCTCATGTTTTGGGAGTTTTGTGTGTTTGTTTGTTTGTTTTTCACTTAGAAGATCTTTTTAAGCACATCAGTCTTGGTCATTTGCTACTTTTTCTCTAATGCAGGTCTTAATGCAATTAATTAGGCGTTTGCCAGGTTTAGACAGTCACAGACTTGGAATCACTCTGCTGGCCACAGTCTGTGTTTAGACAGGGTGAAGATAACTTGTACGAGCAAAACTTATCTCTCTGTCTTTTAATAACTGTCAGGTGGTCTAACAAAATATTTATCATTTCTCCCCTGAAGATGATTCRTCAGTTTTCACCAAGGCACAGTGTCTCTGATGGAAGTTTTGTAAAAACAATAAATGGCAGAATAACAGTAGGATTTTGCATGAAGAGTAATATTGTCACCTGCATTGGATCTGGTTTTGGTAAAACAGAGAGTTATATGGAAAGTGAACATTTTGTCATTTTGAAGAAGACTGCACTAGCCCAAAGCCTTCCATATTTTAGATTAAGTGACAGACACAGTCATACATTACATAAAGGAGCAACGGGAAACCTGGAACCTCTTGCAGTAAGTGAGACAATACCCAGGGAGGATATTGAAAATACTCAAGACTGAAATCATTTTATCTAATTTGGAGAGTAGAATGTTTGAACTGCTAAATATTAAGAAAGAAAGTAAACCATTCCAAGATCTTTAAGTGAATTACTGACACATAGTGTAAAATCTGGAAGGACTCAGCAGCAGTGTAAATTTGCATTTCCATAGTCATCCCTGCTGAGATGATCTCAGATGAAACAGTAGGATTCACATATGTAATTTTGCACAGGAACTATTCAAGCCTGTTCTAGTGAAACGTAGAGTATATTCAGTTATTTTTATGCAGCCCTTATTTGCCAATGTTAATGATCCTTAAAAAAAAGAAGACCAATTTAGCTTTGTTCCCATCAGCAAATTAGTATAAAATGACAACTGGCATATTTAAGAAGCACTTTCTTTACTGTTCTATTGAACAGGATGGTGCAGTGCAGCAAATATCTTTAGGGCCAAAATAAAGAGATGACAAGTAACAAAATGGGGGCCCTGATCGTATGTTTTTGTTTAAATCCATCCTTATTTATCAAAACACTTGCCTTTCTGATTCAAAGTCCMCTGGGTGGTATCCATTGTGAATCCAGTACTTTTTCACGCAGCCCTCCTTTTTATCATCCCAGTGCCTCTGGATTATTCAGTTCACAATGCTCTTGTGATAGGGAAATATTGTTCATGTCATTCTACCACTAAGTAACTGAAGGGACCCAAAGGAGCTCATGTCACTCCTGCTCTTGCTTTGCCACCTAGAGCTATCCAAGCAGTTCCATACTGGTAGTACTCAGCACAAACCCTGACTCCACAGCTAAACCATAAACCGTTTTGTTTTTCCCTCATCCTATAGCACCTGTAGCACACTAAGTGCAGTGAAATAAATCAAATTGTTAATATTGATCCTACRCATGCTATTTTTTAGAGTTTAACATTGGATTGAGTCTTTAGCTTTAACTTCAGGCTGTTTCTCTAGACCAAACATTCCCATATTTGAAGGTAGCTGTTTCTGGAAAATTTATCCCACAAGTCCAAGAGGATCCTTTAAGTTTGTCTAAGTCCCTATACCCCCACCAAAGTATCTAAGCTTTGAAGCATTTCCTGCCTCTTGTTTACATCTGGCAATAAAAGACTTTTTGCAGATCACGGAATAGGGATGTGGCAGAGCAGCTCATCAAATATATTTCAGTCTAATCACTGGATTATCCTTTCACCTGGAGAACAAGGCTTAGAGCTTCATCAATGTGTGGGTGGCATATGGAACAAACAGCTATCTACACACACAGAGCAAAGGTAGAAAGTTTAGTTAGCAATGACATTTTAAACTTTTCTGTGAAATGATCCATTACTAAATACAATTTTTTCCTTTACACACTATATCTGAAAGGCGGATCATGATCAAAATGTCATTTTTAATTGTATTTTCTATTCCTGACTTTGCAACATTTAGAATAAACTCTAACCTTTTTGCTCTGAAAAATAAAAGAACTGTGCTCTTCCCATGTGTATAATATAAAAGGAATTATTAATAGCTCCAGGAGAGATATTTCTTTTTAATTAGTGGCATAATTAGTGAATCCTTAGGGTCGGATTTTACAAATGTTCAGTACTTCATAATTTCTTAGAAAAACAATTTTTACATAACGATTTGAGTGGCAGCTATATAAACATGAGCAAAAAATAAGCTGTTTTACAAGACAAAGACAGAAAGAGAATACAAACTTTGCCATTATTACA